GGTGGGGTGGCATTGTATGTCCGAGATCGCTTGAACTGTTGTATAAAAACGGGTATTAAGTCTGAAGTAACACCTAGAGTCTGTTCGGATAGAATTTTCAGAGGGGGCATGAAAAACTGATTTTAGGTGTGATATACCGTCCCCCAAACTTAGATAGGGACCAAGGGAGATTACTATGGGAGGAAATTGTTAAGGCCACAAGGCACAATAATGTAGTAATTCTAGGAGACTAATTTTGGTCATATTGATTGGAATTTCTTGACTGGGAATTTAGAATCATACGACTTCTTAGAAGTAGTTCAGGATTGTTTTTTGAAGCAGTTTGTGACAGAACCTACAAGGGGAAATAACCTGCTTGACTTAGTTCTGGCAAACAATGAATCCCTTGTTAATAATTTAGAAATTTCAGAGGAACTCGGTGCTAGCGACCACAAATCAATTACATTTAGCATTGAATGGAAGTACGATAGTAGCGATAACTCAGTAACAGTCCCAGATTTTCGCTTAGCAGATTACGATGGGCTTAGAGAACACTTATCATCTGTTGACTGGGGTAACGAAGAGAGCTATCAATATGACAGTTTTCTGAACACTATACATGCTGCTCAAAGAACGTTTATCCCGTATAAAGAAATTAGATCAAAGAGAAATGACTCAAAATGGATGAATAATAGGCTGAAATATCTACTAGGGCATAAGAAAGAAATTTATAGGCGTATCAAAAGAGGTGAGGGTCATCTTATGAATCAGTATATTGACATTAAGAGGGACATTAAAAAGGGGATAAGAAAAGCTAAAAGGGACTATGAAATTAAAGTTGCTAGGGATTCTAAAACTAACCCAAAAAGTTTCCAGGTCTATAGAACAAAAGTTAGAGATAAGATAGGTCCCCTTAAAAATAACTATGGGCATCTTACTGAGAGAGAATGAAATGTGCTCGATTTTAAATAATTATTTTCTCTCGGTTTTTACACAGGAAGACACTAACAATATTCCAGTAATTAATTTTTATAGTGGGCTAGAAGAAGATAAATTATGTAACATCACAGTCACTAGTGAAATGGTTGTGAAGCAGATAGACAGACTGAAGCAAAATAAGTCGCCAGGTCCTGATGAGGTTTTTTCAAGGGTTCTTAAGGAATGCAAAATGGAACTCTGTGAACCATTAACTAATATTTTTAATTTATCTCTTCAAACAGGTATAGTGTCTGATATGTGGAAGATGGCTAATGTAATTCCTATTTTTAAAACAGGGGACAAGTCGTTACCGTCAAATTACCGCACAATAAGCCTGACCTCAATTGTAGGCAAATTACTAGAGTCAATTATAGCTGAGATTATAAGAAGCCATCTCGATAAGCATAGCTTGATTAATGATACTCAGCATGGATTCACAAGAGGCCGGTTTTGTCTAACTAATTTATTAGCTTTCTTCAGTAAAGCTTTTGAGGCTGTTGACCACGATAAAGAATTTGATATTATTTACTTAGATTTTAGTAAGGCTTTTGATAGAGTTCCGCACCATAGACTGTTAAAGAAAGTGGCAGCTCATGGCATTGCGGGAAAAGTGCTCTCGTGGATCGAGTCATGGCTCACAGACAGGAAGCAGAGTGTGTCCATAAATGGGGTTAAATCCGAGTGAGGATCTGTAACAAGTGGCGTTCCACAGGGATCAGTCTTGGGCCCGTTGTTGTTTATAATATATATATCAATTATCTTGATGAAGGAATTCCTAGTGATATGAGCAAATTCGCCGATGACACAAAGATAGGTAGGATAATTGATTCAAACGTAGATGTTAGGGAACTTCAGGAGGATTTAAACAAACTCTATTCTTGGTCAGAAAAGTGGCAGATGCAGTTCAATGTAGATAAATGCAAGGTTCTGAAGCTCGGGAGTGTCCATAACCCTAGCACTTATAAGTTAAATGATGTAGAACTTAGCCATACAGATTGCGAAAAGGACTTGGGGGTTATGGTGAGCAGCAACCTTAAACCAAGACAGCAATGCCTAAGCGTACATAATAAGGCAAATAGATTACTGGAATTTATATCAAGAAGTGTAAGCAACAGAAGTCCAGAGGTCATACTGCAACTTTATACATCATTAGTAAGGCCTCACCTAGATTATGCAGCTCAATTCTGGTCTCCATATTACAGAATGGACATAAATTCGTTAGAAAATATTCAGCGTAGGATGACTAAATTAATACATAGCATTAGAAATCTTCCTTATGAAGAAAGATTGAAGACTCTTGAGTTACATTCACTTGTTAGACGAAGAATGAGGGGAGACCTGATCGAAGTGTATAAGTGGAAGATAGGTATTAATAAAGAGGATATTAATAAGGCCTTGAGGATATCTCTCCAAGAGAGAACCCGCAGTAATGGATTTAAATTAGATAATGTGCGGGTTATTTGTGTATAGATAAGTTTAGATTTAGAAAGGACATAGGAAAGTATTGGTTCGGAAATAGGGTAGTTGATGAGCAGAACAGTCTACCTAGTTGGGTTATTGAGGCTAGGACCTTGGGTAGTTTCAAATTTAGATTGGATAAGTATATGAGTGGGAGGGGTTGGATTTGAGTGGGACTTGCACATCAGAGCTTATTTCTTGGGTAGCACTGAGGGTTGGGTTGGGCAAGCGTTTTGTTGGTGGGATGAGTTGTAAAGGACCTGCCTAGTATGGGCCAACAGGCCTCCTGCAGTGCTCCTCCTTTCTTATGTTCTTATGAAAGAGGAGGAGGAGGAGGAGGGAGGAAAGAGGAGGAGGAGGGAGGAAAGAGGAGGAGGAGGGAGGAAAGAAGAGGAGGAGGGATTAAAGAGGAGGTAGGAAAGAGGAGGAGGAGGGAGGAAAGAGGAGGAGGGGGGAGGAAAGAGGGGGAGGAAAGAGGAGGGAGGAAAGAGGAGGAGGGAGGAAAGAGGAGGAGGGAGGAAAGAGGAGGGAGGGAGGAAAGAGGAGGAGGAGGAAAGAGGAAAGAGGAGGAGGAGGAGGAGGAGGCGAGGAGGATGACAACAGCAATGAGGGCACGTACGATATTTGCAACACTGATGAAGACGACAATGAGAAAAAGAATAGTGCACTAACAAAAGTTCATGTTTTAGTAGCATTACATAGGTAAGCCTCATGTTCTGTAGTCCTAATAGAAGCTGCCCTTCTGAATTTGAGGTAATTAATTATTCCACACCTCCACATATAGTGTACATAAAAAATAAAGCCATGTTCTTCCCTTATACAGTGGACCCCTGGGTAACGACGTCATCGGCTAATGAAAAAATCAGGTAGCGACACATTTTTGCGTCAAAATATTGGTTCGACCAATGACAAAGAACTCGGTTAAGGACACTTGTCCCGAACATGTCCGTGTGCCCTGAGCAGGCCTGGCCATTCCATGTACAGCTAGTATGCCACTGTTTACAAGCCAGGGAAGATGATTCCACATGTACATGTGATATATTTTGTATTATTCAATTGTTTTTAGTGCTTGTAACTGCTAAATAAGCCACCATGGTCCCAAAGAAAGCTTCTAGTGCCAGCCCTGTGGTAAAGAGGGTGAGACATACTATTGAAATGAAGAAAGAGATCATCAAAAAATACTAAAGTGGAGTGTGTGTCGATGAAGAGCTAACAACTACAGAGCTGCAAGAGCTTGAGGTGCAACATCAACAGACCACAGCTCAGGAATTTCCTTCAGAGGAGGAGGAGGAGGAGGAGAGATGGAGGAAGTTGCCTTCATCAAAGATTAAGGACACTTGTACAATGTGGACAAAGGTGCAAGCATTTATGGACGAACATTACCCTGACACAGCTGTTGCAGGCCGTATTGGCAACATGTACAATGACACTAGTGTGTCCCATTTTAGGGAAATCTTAGAGAGAGACCAGAAACAGAGCTCCCTGGTCCCAGTGGCATTAAAAAACAAAGAAGGGAGGTAACCCCAGAAAAGGATTTGTTACCCAAAGTCTTCATGGAAGGGGATTACCCTTCCAAACAATTATAAACTCCTCCATCCTCTGCCCTCCTCCCATCTCATCACTCATCAATAAGTCCTCAATAAAGGCAAGTGTCATTTCAGTAATGTTTATTCAGCATGTCGCATTGTTTTCTGTGTAGGAAAATTTAATTTCATGTATAAAGAATATTTTGTTTAATACTTGTGGGTGTTTGGAACAGTTTAATTGGATTTCCATTATTTCTTATGGGGAAAATTAATTCGGCTAATGACAAAATCGGTTAAAGACAAGCTCTCTGGAATGGATTAGTGTCGTTATCCGAGGGTCCACTGTATATTTAGAAAATCCACCCTATTCTCCATTAATCACATATACGGTGATTATTACATATACTGTATATACAATATACAAATAACTCATGTATAGGAGAAAAACTGTACTGTATCACAGTAATATACATTGTAGTATCTATTGTATAAAGGTAGAATTGTGTCCCTTGAGGGAAACAATTTCCAAGTTTGATAATAAGTTTAAACAGTCTTAATAAATATAACACAGAGGTTTCTTGCCAATAATGAGGAAACCAGATTACATGTTTGAGCACTGAGGATGTGACTCCAATCCATATCCTTGTACAGTTCACACTGTGGAAGGACTGCCAAATGTTAAGTTGTAACATCATGTTATTTCTGTTATTTAGTATTTCTTCATTCCCAAAGTTTCACCTGCTTAATACTGAAAAGTATATATACGTGTTAATTCTCCATGGGGAAGAAGAAAGTTCTTCCTCTGTAAGCTATGTTTGTCTTAAGAGGCAACCAAAATGCCGGAAACAAGGGGCTGACAACCCCTCTTCCTGTATAAATTACCAAATTTTAGGGGTGACCTAAAAAGAAAAACTTTCTTTTTTCTTTTCAGGTCACCCCTGTCTTGGTGGGATACAGCCGGTTCACTGATATATATATATAAAAAAAAAAGGTGTTAATACATTTCTCAGCATAAATAACAATACTGTAATTCCAAACTCAATGTAATTATTATCTTACCCTCCTTACTGGCATCTGCTTTTTTATCCTTCTTCTTCTTCTTCTTTTTCTTTTTTTTATCTTTTTCTTCTTTTTCTTCAGTTTCCTTCTTCTCTTCATCTTCCTTTTCCTTGTCTTTCTCTTTCTCTTCCTCCTCCTCCTCATCAGAACCTAGCAACTTCCTAAGTCCATCCTGGTTCTCCACCCCAGTCAACTCTGTCCTTACAATTTCATCATTCTCAGCATCTGAACTGGGAAGCAAGAAACATGCATTATTTACTATAATTATTATTAAGAAATTACATTAAAAATAATGATATAGGATACAATGGGAGGGAAAGGACCTAAGATGCAAGGAGTGATCCACCAGCAAATGAGAACATAGAAAAATCCTTTTTTAAACTCTTAAGCTGTAACCTGTGGGGACCTTACCGCCTCCTTTCAATGGACATTTAATGTGTGTCATTTTCCTTATATTGCAGATGTTATATACGTATAACAATAGTCTTGTATATGGTAAAAAAAAATATTAACATTTTACCAGCTTATAAAGTGAAGATATTGCCGTCTTTAAGTCTATTTACAGGTTGGCAAAATTTTACTTACTTCCTGAATGTTAATATTACAGTACTTAAGGCATCTAAACTGTCGTATCTGAGCACCTCTACAAGGACAGTGATTATGTATGAGTGATGGTAAAAGTGTTGAATAATGAATAATGTTAAATTACATTCATAGACCCTTAAATGTGTAAATTCAAGAATTATGTGGATTAAAGTAAAGGTTGGATGCGAAAAGTGGGTCATAATAAGAGTGTATGCACCTGGAGAAGAGAGGAATGTAGAGGAGAGAGAGAGATTTTGGGAGATGTTAAGTGAATGTATAGGAGCCTTTGAACCAAGTGAGAGAGTCATTGTGGTAGGGGATCTGAATGCTAAAGTAGGAGAAACTTTTAGAGAGGGTGTGGTAGGTAAGTTTGGGGTGCCAGGTGTAAATGATAATGGGAGCCCTTTGATTGAACTTTGTATAGAAAGGGGTTTAGTTATAGGTAATAAATATTTTAAGAAAAAGAGGATAAATAAGTATACAAGATATGATGTAGGGCGAAATGACATTAGTTTGTTGGATTATGTATTGGTAGATAAAGACTGTTGAGTAGACTTCAGGATGTACATGTTTATAGAGGGGCCACAGATATATCAGATCACTTTCTAGTTGTAGCTACACTGAGAGTAAAAGGTAGATGGGATACAAGGAGAATAGAAGCATCAGGAAGAGAGAGGTGAAGGTTTATAAACTAAAAGAGGAGGCAGTTAGGGTAAGATATAAACAGCTATTGGAGGATAGATGGGCTAATGAGAGCATAGGAAATGGGGTCGAAGAGGTATGGGGGAGGTTTAAAAATGTAGTGTTAGAGTGTTCAGCAGAAGTTTGTAGTTACAGGAAAGTGGGTGCGGGAGGGAAGAGGAGCGATTGGTGGAATGATGATGTAAAGAGAGTAGTAAGAGAGAAAAAGTTAGCATATGAGAAGTTTTTACAAAGTAGAAGTGATGCAAGGAGGGAAGAGTATATGGAGAAAAAGAGAGAGGTTAAGAGAGTGGTGAAGCAATGTAAAAAGAGAGCAAATGAGAGAGTGGGTGAGATGTTATCAACAAATTTTGTTGAAAATAAGAAAGTTTTGGAGTGAGATTAACAAGTTAAGGAAGCCTAGAGAACAAATGGATTTGTCAGTTAAAAATAGGAGAGGAGAGTTTATTAAATGGAGAGTTAGAGGTATTGGGAAGATGGAGGGAATATTTTGAGGAATTGTTTAAATGTTGATGAAGATAGGGAAGCTGTGATTTCGTGTATAGGGCAAGGAGGAATAACATCTTGTAGGAGTGAGGAAGAGCCAGTTGTGAGTGTGGGGGAAGTTCGTGAGGCAGTAGGTAAAATGAAAGAGGGTAAGGCAGCCGGGATTGATGGGATAAAGATAGAAATGTTAAAAGTAGGTGGGGATATAGTTTTGGAGTGGTTGGTGCAATTATTTAATAAATGTATGGAAGAGGGTAAGGTACCTAGGGATTGGCAGAGAGCATGCATAGTTCCTTTGTATAAAGGCAATGGGGATAAAAGAGAGTGCAAAAATTATAGGGGGAGAAGTCTGTTGATGAGCATGGAAGTTTCGGAGTGGGTAGGGGATGTGTAGATCAAGTGTTTACATTGAAGCATATATGTGAACAGTATTTAGATAAAGGTAGGGAAGTTTTTATTGCATTTATGGATTTAGAAAAGGCATATGATAGAGTGGATAGAGGAGCAATGTGGCAGATGTTGCAAGTATATGGAATAGGTGGTAAGTTATTAACTGCTGTAATGAGTTTTTATGAGGATAGTGAGGCTCAAGTTAGGGTGTGTAGAAGAGAGGGAGACTACTTCCCGGTAAAAGTAGGTCTTAGACAGGGATGTGTAATGTCACCATGGTTGTTTAATATATTTATAGATGGGGTTGTAAAGGAAGTAAATGCTAAGGTGTTCGGGAGATGGGTGGGATTAAATTTTGGGGAATCAAATTCAAAATGGGAATTGACAGTTACTTTTTGCTGATGATACTGTGCTTATGGGAGATTCTAAAGAAAAATTGCAAAGGTTAGTGGATGAGTTTGGTAATGTGTGTAAAGGTAGAAAGTTGAAAGTGAACATAGAAAAGAGTAAGGTGATGAGGGTGTCAAATGATTTAGATAAAGAAAAATTGGATATCAAATTGGGGAGCAGGAGTATGGAAGAGTGAATGTTTTCAGATACTTGGGAGTTGACGTGTCGGCGGATGGATTTATGAAGAATGAGGTTAATCATAAAATTGTTGAGGTAAAAAAGGTGAGTGGTGCGTTGAGGTATATGTGGAGTCAAAAAACGTTATCTATGGAGGCAAAGAAGGGAATGTATGAAAGTATAGTAGTACCAACACTCTTATATGGGTGTGAAGCTTGGGTGGTAAATGCAGCAGCGAGGAGACGGTTGGAGGCAGTGGAGATGTCCTGTCTAAGGGCAATGCGTGGTGTAAATATTATGCAGAAAATTCGGAGTGTGGAAATTAGGAAAAGGTGTGGAGTTAATAAAAGTATTAGTCAGAGGGCAGAAGAGGGGTTGTTGAGGTGGTTTGGTCATTTAGAGAGAATGGATCAAAGTAGAATGACATGGAAAGCATATAAATCTATAGGTGAAGGAAGGCGGGGTAGGGGTCGTCCTCGAAAGGGTTGGAGAGAGGGGGTAAAGGAGGTTTTGTGGGCAAAGGGCTTGGACTTCCAGCAAGCGTGCGTGAGCGTGTTAGATAGGAGTGAATGGAGACGAATGGTACTTGGGACCTGACAATCTGTTGGAGTGTGAGCAGGGTAATATTTAGTGAAGGGATTCAGGGAAACCGGTTATTTTCATATAGTCGGACTTGAGTCCTGGAAATGGGAAGTACAATGCCTGCACTTTAAAGGAGGGGTTTGGGATATTGGCAGTTTGGAGGGATATGTTGTGTATCTTTAAATGTGTGTATGCTTCTAAACTGTTGTATTCTGAGCACCTCTGCAAAAACAGTGATAATGTGCGAGTGTGGTGAAAGTGTTGAATGATGATGAAAGTATTTTCTTTTTGGGGATTTTCTTTCTTTTTTTGGGTCACCCTGCCTCGGTGGGAGACGGCCGACTTGTTGGAGAAAAAAAAAAAAAAAAAGTCTGTTGAGTATACCTGGTAAAGTGTATGGTAGAGTTATTATTGAAAGAATTAAGAGTAAGACGGAGAATAGGATAGCAGATGAATAAGGAGGCTTTAGGAAAGGTAGGGGGTGTGTGGACCAGGTGTTTACAGTGAAACATGTAAGTGAACAGTATTTAGATAAGGCTAAAGAGGTCTTTGTGGCATTTATGGATTTGGAAAAGGCATATGACAGGGTGGATAGGGGGGCAATGTGGCAGATGTTGCAGGTGTATGGTGTAGGAGGTAGGTTACTGAAAGAAGTGAAGAGTTTTTACGAGGATAATGAGGCTCAAGTTAGAGTATGTAGGAAAGAGGGAAATTATTTCCCAGTAAAAGTAGGCCTTAGACAAGGATGTGTGATGTCACTGTGGTTGTTTAATATATTTATAGATGGGGTGGTAAGAGAAGTAAATGCAAGGGTCTTGGCAAGAGGTGTGGAGTTAAAAGATAAAGAATCACACATAAAGTGGGAGTTGTCACAGTTGCTCTTTGCTGAGGGAGATTCTGAAGAGATGTTGCAGAGATTGGTGGATGAATTTGGTAGGGTATGCAAAAGAAGAAAATTAAAAGTGAATACAGGAAAGAGTAAGGTTAGGAGGATAACAAACAGATTAGGTGATGAAAGACTGGATATCAGATTGGAGGGAGAGAGTATGGAGGAGGTGAATGTATTCAGATATTTGGGAGTGGATGTGTCAGCAGATGGGTCTATGAAAGATGAGGTGAATCATAGAATTGATGAGGGGAAAAGGGTGAGTGGTGCACTTAGGAGTCTGTGGAGACAAAGAACTTTGTCCTTGGAGGCAAAGAGGGGAATGTATAAGAGTATTGTTTTACCAACGCTCTTATATGGGTGTGAAGCTTGGGTGATGAATGTTGCAGCGAGGAGAAGGCTGGAGGCAGTGGAGATGTCATGTCTGATGGCAATGTGTGGTGTGAATATAATGCAGAGAATTCGTAGTTTGGAAGTTAGGAGGAGGTGCGGGATTACCAAAACTGTTGTCCAGAGGGCTGAGGAAGGGTTGTTGAGGTGGTTCGGACATGTAGAGAGAATGGAGCGAAACAGAGTGACTTCAAGAGTGTATCAGTCTGTAGTGGAAGGAAGGCGGGGTAGGGATCGGCCTAGGAAAGGTTGGAGGGAGGGGGTAAAGGAGGTTTTGTGTGCGAGGGGCTTGGACTTCCAGCAGGCATGCGTGAGCATGTTTGATAGGAGTGAATGGAGACAAATGGTTTTTAATACTTGACGTGCTGTTGGAGTGTGAGCAACGTAACATTTATGAAGGGAGTCAGGGAAACCGGCAGGCCGGACTCAAGTCCTGGAGATGGGAAGTACAGTGCCTGCACTCTGAAGGAGGGGTGTTAATGTTGCAGTTTAAAAACTGTAGTGTAAAGCACCCTTCTGGCAAGACAGTGATGGAGTGAATGATGGTGAAAGTTTTTCTTTTTCGGGCCACCCTGCCTTGGTGGGAATCGGCCAGTGTGTTTATAAAAAAAAAAATAATAATAAAAAAATGCATGAGTGAGAGGGGTTGGATTTGAGTGGGACTTGCATATGAGTGGATAGGGTCAACAGAGCTTATTTCTTGGGTGGCATTGAAAATTGGTTGGGCAAGTGTTTTGTTAGTGGGATTGATTATAAAGGACCTGCCTAGTATGGGCCAACAGGCCTGCTACAGTGTTCCTTCTTTCTTATGTTCTTTTTGGGTACTTCTTCCTTTTTGGGTCACCCTGCCTCGGTTGGAAACGAGACATGTTTAAAAAAAAAACTTGGGTCAATGGGTGGTATTAATATTATGCAGAGAATAAGGAGCAAAGAAATTACAGAACGGTATACTGATAAAAAAAAACAAAAGAGGGGATTGTCAAGATGGTTAGGAGCAAGATGGACTGACCAAGAGGGTGAATAAATCTGGGGATTGATGGAAGGATGAAGAGGATGTCCCAGGAAGAAGTTAGGGTATGAAGGCAGTTAGAATAGTAAGGACTTAAATATCCCATAGATGTGTGTGTGTGTTACAGAAGATTAGTCAAGTAGTTATTGAGATTTTGTGTGGTATTGAAATCTGAGCAAGGTAGGGTTAATGCCTTTGCGACCTGGTCCATAACCAGACCTGCACAGCTTCAGTTTTAGGGTGGGTTCATATGTTCAGTTAGGGGCATCATTTAAATAGTGAGGTCTGCACTTCTTTTAAGTTAGCTACAGAACAAGTAATGGTAAATGCTTTTTCTTCTAAGGGTTACCCTACTTTCGTTGGAAAAAACTAACGTGAGAAAAGAGAATACAACTTACTCTGAAGAATCACTAGATATGTAATCATGCTCAGCACCATCATCGTGCTCATCACTTTCTTCAAAGCAGTCTTCATCACTTTCTCCATCAAAATTTTTCTTCTTTTTCCCGCCTGTAGAAAAATAATTAAAAATACTGTACATAACTCATTATTCTTCAAACACAAATTAATCTTCAATATAAATGCTGGATGAAAAAGGCACACAATACAGCATAAACCCTAATAATAATGGTTCACATGAGGGGAGCTTTATTAACCCTTTGAGGGTCGACAGGCCCTCTCCGAGACTTGTTCTCAGGGTTGGCCAAATTTAAAAAAAAAAATTATTTTTTTTCTTTATTAAAAGATACAGAATCTTTTCCCGATCATAATGACACCAAAAGTATGAAATTTGATGGAAAACTTACGGAATTATGCTCTTGCGAAGTTAGCAGTCTCAATGATGTTTACGCATCGGCGATTTTGCCCACTTTGAGACCTATTTTCGGCCAATTCCAGTGTACTAGTTGACAAAAATCATAACTATTTCTCTAGAACTCCATTTTTTCTATTGAATGAGTACAAGAAACCACGCATTTACTGATTTCAACTATCCAATACAGTGGTCAGAATTTAGCAATTTTGCTAATTTCACACAAATTTCAAATGATGCCAATTTCCAAATAGGGCCCAGAATAAACAAGAAAGACATTCCTGGCACTAAAATAACATTTCCTCTGTTCGTTAGTCACATCCCCAGGCCCCTCTTATATTTCTTTGGCTTTCCACTTTCAATTTTTCTTACAAAAAAATAGAAGATTTACTGTTATGCAGACTGCTGCATTAGTGTAGAAATAGTATAAATAATATCAGCGCACTTGTGAAAGAATATTAGACTCACCAGTTGACGTGTATTGGACGCTTGGCATGATTTGTTTACTTTTGAACTTTGGTAAAAATCAAACATTTCTGCTACCTTGAGCTCAATTTCAAGGTACTTTTCATTGTAAAACCAGTCAAAATCATCTCAATTTCTGTAATATGTCTTCCATTCTATAAAATGAGACCAAGAAAACTAGAATACAACAATAAATACCATACGAAAATACAGTGCAAAGTTGCTGTTTTATTCCAAAAACATGGTCAAAGTTTTTTTTTCTCATTATGCACTGTTTGCTGCAGGATTTTTTTTATACTGAGCACACTGACCACATAGACCCATTCTTTCGTATGTATGCCTACCAGCTTTCTCCCACTAGATCTGAGGGCACTAGAATTTAGGCGTACTAGTACGTCAAAAACCCTGGGTCGTAAGCCGTACTAGTACTGCCGAAACCCTCAAAGGGTTAAATTAATCCGATAAGGCTTCTTGAACATAAGAACGGAGGAAAACTATCAGGCCTACTGGCCCAAACAAGGCAAAAACAATCACAATAGAGGCTTATGCTTTGTGTGTGCCTTTCTCACAGCCTCTTCTTCCTACATATAAATGCTATAAAAATAACTGATGAAGGGCTCTTGATCTGAGGAATAGGACCTACCTACCTTTCTTAGCCAACCCAATCCTTAAGCACTGTACAATATAACCCTTGAGAGTTTGGCACTCCATATAAATAATAATGATAATCTTTGCAAGCATTTCATTAATCTCACAAAGTGGTCTCTCACCTTCCATCAGTGGATGATTATGACACTTAATCAAAACGTAACATAAATTTAGTTTTGAAAGCAGGTAAAACTGAAGAGCCCTTTGCTCGTAATTCCCTATGAAGAATGAAGTGTTATTCCTAATAAATTTTTCTTTAAACAAACCAACCATATCCCACCAAGGCAGGGAGGCTCAAAACAAAAAACAAGTTTCTCTTTTAAGAATTAATAATGTATACAGGAGAAAGGGTTACTAGTCCCTTGCTCCCGGCATTTTAGTCACCTTTTACGACACGCATGGCTTACGAAGGAAGAATTCTGTTCCACTTCCCCGTGGAGATATAAGGAAATAAACAACAAGAACAACTAAGAAAATAGAAGAAACCTCAGAGGGGTGTGTGTGTATATATATATATGCTTATACATGCATGTGTAGTGTGACCTAAGTGTAAGTATAAGGAGCAAGATATACCTGAAATCTTGCATGCATGAGCCAGAAAAAAAAAAAACACCAGCAATCCTACCATAGTGTAAAACAATTACAGGCTTTTGTTTTACACTCATTTGGCAGGACGGTAGTACCTCCTAATAAACTATTGTTGCAAAAATGGCAAGGAATGTTTAAGCTTACCGTGTTGTGATCTGCCTTTGGCCTGAACTTTTTTCTTCTTTTTGGGTCTGTCACCATCAGATTCCTCGTCATCCTCTTCACCTTCAGATTCGTTGTCTGACATCCAGTCATCCAGCTCAGAAAGTATCATGGCTGTGAAAATACCACCAATGGGTAATCTTGTTTTATCTCAGCATTAAAGGAGACAGGAGGGAGAAGGGAAGACAGCGAGGAAGAGAAGGATGGAGGAGTAAGGGAAAAAAAGGCGAAAGATGAAGGAGTAAAGGAAAAAGAGGAGGATGGATATTAAGGGATAAAGGAAGAGCCAGAGGAGGAGGAGGAGGAAAGGATAGAAGTGGCAACTAAAATAAATTATAGCAGATTTGGTTTAAACATTCATCAGTGATATAAAAGCTGGTGAATGAATTCATAAAAACAGCTAATAACAAATTATACATAATAAGAGTAAAAAATAATACCAATAACAATAATAAAATTTTCAAGATGTGTTAACAGAGGTGCACTGATAAATAACTGACAAAGCTACCATTATATTTATGTAGATGAATGGTTCAGAGAACTGACAAGTTGATAAATTAGACACATGTGCAACATATGGGCATCTTTAATGAGGAAACATTTTGCCACACAGTGTCTTCATCAGTCCATACAAAGGAGAATTTGAAGAACAGGAGTAGTTTGAGGTAATCAGTCCCTCAGCCTTGAGTCAATGTGATCAGTCCATCAATCTTGAAAAGAATACAGCGTATGTGCAAAGAAGTGGTTTATATACTGTAGGCAGGAGAGGTGCAGAAGTCGTAGGTGGTATCACATTTGACGAATGTGGAAGTAGGTCATGCCCCAGGGGTAGGCAAGTTGAAGATGATCACACTGACTCAAAGCTGATGAACTGATTACCTCAAACTCCTCCTGTTGTTCAACATTCTCCTTTGTATGGACTGATGAAGCCACTGTGATGCAAAACATTTCCTCATTAAAGATACTTACATGCTGCACATGTGTCTAATTTACCACAATCATATTTAGCTGAAACGTACTTGGTCACTAGTTAGTGCCATTGGGAAACCTTGCATAAAAAAAAAAAAAAATCAATGAGAATGTTTTTTAAATGCCATTCCAGATCCACATATGCAAAGAAAATGCACATCTAGGTCTGAAAAGCACACAACTTGTTATTCATAAATTGGTAAAGCTTCTATAGGGAATTGCAATACAAATTATTTAGTGTATTATGCACTAGCAGAGTGGCTAACTGCTATGACACACACACAATGAAAGCTTCCTTAGTAAGGGCAAGACCTGACAGAGGAAGCTTCCTTAGTAAGGACAAGATCTGATAGAGGCAAATTGTGAATAACAAGCGCAAATTATTACATTAAGACTAGCTAGAATGATCTAACCATACTTGCTACAAGACCAAGAGAAAGCATCACAATGCAACTTCATTGGTCAAAACCTTATATTACTGAAGGAACTGTTGTTACAATTAACTTACACTTGGCAGATGGCCCTTTTTTCTTCATGCTCTCTTCATCCCCATCTGCTGCTTCCTCTCCATCTTTCTTGAGTTTCTTCTGATACATTACAGAGAAGTAATTCATGATTTTGTCACGCCTGATGAAGCAACATACAATATTAGAGCTTTTATAAATACAAACTGTCATATTCTCTGTTATAAAACAATTACACAAGATATGCAAATGCAGTGATACAAATATAACAATTACAAAGGACTCCTTAATTCTAAATGAAGCTTATAATCTTTACAACTACTTTTTTTTTTTTTTTAACAAGTCGGCCATCTCCCACCGAGGCAGGGTGACCCAAAAAGAAAGAAAATACTTTCATCACCACTCAACTCTTTCACCTCACTCACACATAATCACTGTTTTTGCAGAGGTGCTCAGAACACAACAGCTTAGAAGCATATACATGTACGTATAAAGATACACAACATATCCCTCTAAACTGCCAATATCCCGTACCCCTCCTTTAGAGTGCAAGGGGCTAGTAACCCCTTCTCCTGTATGCATTACTAAAGTTAAAAAAGAGAAACTTTTTCTTTCTGGGCCACCCTGCTTCAGTGGGATATGGCCAGTTTGTTGAAAGAAGCTACATATACACACTGTGTTTTTAACACGCTGACCGGTCTCCCACCGAAGCAGGGTGACAAAAAAAAATTCACCATCATTCACACCAGTGATTCTCAACCAGGGGTAAAAAATTATATGGCAAGGGGTAAATATTTTCGTGCAAACCTTGAATAATTTATTTTTTCTGACTTTCTTGTTTTTGCGTCCCTTTATGATGGCGATAAATTTTTTGTATGGAAGTAAGGGGGTAAATGGAGAAATACATCAAGCCAAGGGAGTTAATGATGGTGGAAAAGTCGAGAATCCCTGATTCACACTATTACTGTCTTTGCACAGGCACACACATGACAGTTTATATGTTACTCTAGACAGCAACTATTCCAACCCCTCATTTAAACTGCAGGCATTGTACTTCCACCTCCAGGACTCAATAAGATACATAAGTACAGTACTGTACTTAAAATATTAGGTAATATAATCTAAATACATGGGGAAGTGGAGAAGAATCCTTCCTCCATAAGTCGTGTGTCATAAGAGTGGAATACAGTGGACCCTCCCTTTTCGGCAGGCTCTGTTTTCGCTCATTTCCATTATCGCCGATTTTTTCTGTAAAATTATTGGCTCCGTTTTGGTTGCTTTCCTCCATTCTCGTCAGTGGTACGGTACACCGAGTGTGCCGCGCACACAACCTCCCACATGCATTCTGAGGAGGCAGTGTCGCTTTGTTTATGGGTGAATGAACATTATCCTGCAAGGCCATAGGAAACATTTCATGATAATTCATTGTTTTTTGCACTTGTTTATTCTGTGTGACTGCTAAATAAGCCACCACGGGCCTAAAGAAAGCTGCTAGTGCCAACCTGTTGATAAAGAAGGCGAGAAACATGATAGAATTCAAGAAAAAAACTCGTAGTAACGTACCAAAGTGGAGGAGGAGGAGGAGAGAGGGGAGAATGTGCCTTCTTCAGCAATTCTATGATATGTGTATGATACTAAAGCAGCAGGAGTTGATAAAGGCTATAGCGCCAGCCAGCGATAAAGTGTAGGATTAACAGTGTAGCAAATAAATTAAGCGATTAAGATAGAAAAAGGACGAGACAAAACTGACTCCTCCAATGTTATTGAAGGTACATATACAGTATAGGGCCATTGACAAACATACGCCGCCCTGCCTATCTTCCACCACCCTAAACCAATGCCAGCATCTCCAAGGTACAGTAAGTGTAAGTATTTCTTATTTATAAATTCTGTACATTGTTTGTGTGAATAGTGTTGGTGGCTTCTGCTGCCGCCTACACTACCACTAATATGTACGGCTCCTCTCTGTGGCCCTGAAAAACCCAACACCACTACTCACAAACATAATGACATATTTTATTCCTTTTAGAGTACGTATATATCATGTCTCTATGTTATCAACATTATGTCATTAGATGAATTATGATAGATAAATAAGCCGTGGAATATAGTTCTTCTCTATAAAATGTATTTTTGTTTATACTTTTGGATGTCTAAAACGGATTAATTGGATTTACATTATTTCTTATGAGGAAAATGGTTTCAGTTTTAGTCAATTTCACATTTCGTTGGACACACTGGAACGAATTAAAGACAAAAAGGGAGGGTCCACTGTAAATTGTCGAGAGTAATGCCTTCTCTTGTATAAATTAACATATGTAAAAAGAAACTTTTCTTCTTTTTGGGTCACCCTGCCTTTATGGAAGATGGCCTGTGTTAAAATAATCCAGTAATTTTTTTTTTCTCATTGGCAGTTTCCCACCAAGGTAAGGTGACAAAGAATAAAGCATATTCACCATCACTTACTCTGTTGCAGCCTCTCCAGAAAAGCATCAACCTGCAACATCTTCCACCCCTCTAAAAGTGTAAACAATGTGCTTCCCAATCTCCTATACTTAAATCTGGCTAGCCATTTTTCTTGAATCCCTTCCTTATTACACTATCCCCACCCACTTTCAATATTTTTGTATTAGTCCAACCAATCTTACTTCTTATTCTTCACTCATTATAAAAGATCTCAGTTTTCACTGCTTTAGATGCAAAAAACTATGAATTCAGAAAAACCTTTCAAATTCCTTTTCTGCCTCCTCTGCACTGAGGGACTTGTAACGGTGCATTGGCTTGAAGTTGTACCACTCTTCAACAGGATATGCTTCAAAAGCCCCGTCTTTACCCTGCATAAATACATACCACGAAGAATTTTCTGACACTCCTCCCTCACGAATACCTCTGAATCTGTCAAAATGAAACACACATCATAAATATTACATACTGTACCTCTGAATCTCTCAAAAAATATGCTAAATTAAACAAGTAAACATGTTAGAGGAGAGAATTCTGTGAATACATTACATACTGCATGAATGTTACAATAAACTCAGCAGAGTAATTTTTATCCAAAATTCTCCTAACTGAAAGCACCTATAATCTATTAACTAAGAATATATAAAATGTTCTTCACTTCACATGATGCTATATTGCATATGTTGATTTTCAGGAATGTAACTGCACGTTATGAGAGGGTTTGCTGTATTTGTAGAATTCTTTAACAACGTCATTTACATATTATGGCCAAACAATGGTTGCATGTTGGAATGTTTGGGGACAGTGTTTGATATAATTCTCTTAAAAGTATTAAAATATAGACAGACATTTTAAAAATGTACTACAAAAGACGAGACATTACAGAGAAAGAATGCATAGAGAACAAAACAGCACAAATTCTTTGGCTATTAATTTTCTATATATGTACTACACAGGTAATGCACTGCATCATTAATGACCAAGATTAACCAATACCTACTTTTTACCATTCTTGCCACCAACGCTCAGAATCCATGGCTGATCCTCAGGTCTGTATTTTTTCACATTGATACCGTACTTCTTTCGTCTAGCTTCTTCTCTCTGCTCACGGCCAAACTCTGAGCCAGCTCCAAATCTAAAAACAAAGAAATAAAACTATTTGAAATGTTAAAAAAAAAAAAAAAATTCTATAGGTACCAAATCAACAGCTCAAGCAATGAAGTATGAGCAGATTGTACCACTCTTCACCTGTCTAGACTAAAATGCCTCAGCATGATAGTGGCTTTCTTTGCTTCAATCTTATTATGATATGTAAACATACATAACCTTAGCAAAGAAATAAATTTTATTTAATTTTTTTGTATGTATTTGTGGTCACAGTGGGAACTATGCTAACCTTCTTATGGTACATAAATATACCTAGTTGGACGAATCTTACTGTAGCCAGCAGACCTAGTGGCTTATGCGTTGGCCTGGAGTTTTATGACTCACTTGCCGCAGGTTCAATCCCCACTTGTACCGTGGATTGTTTGCAATAATATGATTCTGCAAGTTCAAATACATCACCTGACAGATAATGAACAAGACCACTGAAAACTCTAGTTTAATATTAGTCTTCTTAAATTGATTTTGAAACTTAATTATTTTACACAAGATGCAAAATTAAATTTTTTTTCAATGAACTGGCCGTCTCCCACCGAGGGAGGGTGACCTAAAAAAAGAAAAATGAAAGTTTTTCTTTTTTACAATGCAAATTCTTTTTTTATATTTAGTAATTCATACAAAATGGGTTATTAGCCTCTTGCTCCTGGCAAGGGGCTAATAAGGTACAAAAAATTTAAATTAATGCCTTAAAATATTACATTCTAATGGTAATGAATTGACAAAGCATACGTACTATCTCAGGGATAATGAAGGAATTTTAACCAGTGGCACTGACTAAACTTTTATGAATACTTTGGATGAAGCTTAGATATGCATGCTAAACAATGAACAAGGTAAATTAAACTTACTGTAAATACAACTAAGTCATGTAAAGACAGTACAGTACATTAGTATAATGGCAAGTTACTAACAGTTATATCTTGTGATGTTGGTTAATCCTGTAATAGGGTTGATAGGGCTTGTGTACGATAAAACTAACAAGGCAATAAAACCTGTAATGGCACGAACCTTGGTAACTGATATCGACAAATTGGTTTAAAAATACGAGTGATCAGACACTAGGACATATTCATTAGAAAACATTTCTGTCCTAGGACCTTGATCACTTAGAAGTGTATTTTTAAACCAAAACCTGTAATAGCTTGACTTACCAACCCTTGAATAAGTAGAATCCTGATTACCTTACCACCTGTTAGTAGGGATATGCAAAACTCGAAAATCAGATCACTGGGTTCAACCAAACGTGGCCAAACTGTCATAGGGTCATCTTAGCCATTTATTTGAATAAATGCTTTTATTTGTGATCATAAAATGTGGACTTAGGTACAAAACACTATGATAAATTAAACTTCAATAAAAAATAATAATTAATTGCTAGAAATTCATTATTCACCTTAAAAATAGTATTGTTATTATTTTTACTAACTGCATTCATTTGATATTCCCTCATGTGCTCATTTTTGGTCTAAGTTTTAATGTAAATTTTCAAGAAAATTTCATTCTTTCATATAAAAAAAAATGTTAAGGAAAAAAGTAACAAATTTACAAAGAAATTAGATGAGTATAGTGAGGTAGAATGTTTTGTGTTTGCAATTCTTAACATATTAATTTATACATAAAATATCTACCAACCGGGATAAATTAGGAGATTATCTTGTAGGTGTAAAAGGGAAAGTGTTTAGGGGAGATTAAAGTTGTATAGCTGGCCAGAAAATTTTGACTAAGAAAATTAAAGCACCATGGAAGAAGCAAGGTTTGTGTCACTAACTTTGGCATTTCCTCCTCTAAGCTTTTGAACTCCTTCATGTTGTTCTCTCGTTCCATCTTGGTGTGGGTCCAGGTCTTGAAGTCAACACCAAGGGCTGCATGAAATCGCATCATGTTGTACCTTTTCTTCTGTGCTCTGTGAAATCATTTAAATTTATGTTGAAATGATACTTCCATGTGACAATTTTTTAATTGTAAATGCAATTATGTAAATATAAATAAACACCACATGCAAGCACATTTATTTACATATCACATACAAATACTTCTTTATTCCTCCTCATTTTGTCACCAATGAAGTACTATACAGGATGAAGGATCAGAGTTCCAATAGGCATTTTACAAGCTACGAGTGTCTATCCTACCTCAGAATATTTTATTATAGTTAGTTTATAAGTGTATAGAGAACAGCAGTTTAATATTGAAGACCATACACACGGTGTAGGGTTAATAATAATAAAAATAAATAAATATAATAATAATAATAATATATTTTATTTCAGCATGATACAGTGGTTGTACAAAAGAGAATGAATGACATTAGGTGTACATGCCAAAAGCCCTGTACATGTATATGCAGAGCATTTCGGACAAATTTAAGACTAACTTAAGATTAGGAGGGCAATAACAATAAATTGCAATGCCTTTCACTTGCAATTCATCTGTACACTATCAAGAATAGCATACCGTACCTTACCTTTACCTTTGAAGAGTTTCAAGAGTTAACTACTCTCGGAGCCCGGCCATGGGCCAGGCTTGTCCGGTGCTTGCCTGATCAACTAGGCTGCTGGACTTCTGCACCAGCCTTCATCAGGTGTGGACGTTTCTATCTCGCCTGAGTATCAGTGATAAATTTCCCGTTCTCTCTGGGATGCTTGTCTTCAACTATTTTGCCTAAATTCGAAGCAATATTTCCCACAAGAATTAATGTAAATACAATCAATCCGTTCCAGACACCAAAAAATATTCACAAAAAATACATTTTTTAAAGATTAATTATAGTTTTACATACACAAAATGAGAACTAAATAAAATAAATTAAGAACATTTAAATCACTATTACATACCCTTACTGAAGACTTGTTGGCTTACGGAAGACAGGGAGAAGAGAGGGAGGGCAGATTATTGTTTGGAAGGGGAATCGCCCTCAATAAGGACTTTAGGTAACAAGTCCCTCTCTAGGGTTACTTCCCTTCTTTGTTTTTTAATGCCGCTAGGGCCAGCTTGAGAGTCACTGCACCTGTCACCTAAAATAACTGTCCAGAGTCCTCTGTTTCTGGAGTCTCTAGGATTTCCCTAAAATGGGACAAGGTTTTGTCACTGAACATGTTGCATATATGGCTTGTTTCAGCTTGGTCAGGGTGATATTTTTCAACAAAAGTTTGTACCTCATTCCACTTTGCACAAATGTCCTTAATCACTGAAGAAGGCACATCCTTCCTCTCTTCCTCCTCTTCCTCTGAAGCAAGTTCCTCAGCTGTGGTCTGTTGCTGTTGCAGATGAAGCTCTTTCAGCTCTTCAGTGGTTAGCTCTTCCCTGTGGTCCTCCAAATCTTCCACATCCTCGCCACTCACATCCAACCCCATGGACTTCCCCAATGCTACAACAGATTCCACAACAGGCAAAGGGTTAACAGGGTCAGGGTCAGCCTCAAACCCTTCAAAATCCTTCTCAAGGACACAGTCTGGCCACAACTGTCTCCAAGAAGAGTTCAAATTCCTGGAAGTCACTCCTTGCCAAGCCTTACCTATAAGCCTTATAGGTAAGGCTTATGCCTTATGCCCTTATGCCTTGCCTTATAGGTAAGGCTTATGCATTATGCCCTTATGCCTTGCCTCTAAGGCATAATGCCTTAGAGGCAAGGCATAAGGGTCAATTCAATGTCTGAGGTCACTTCAAAGCACTTTTGAAACACTGTTTTTGTGAAGAGTTTTTTGAAGTTAGAAATGACCTGCTGGTCCATGGGCTGGATGAGAGGAGTTGGGTTAGGAGGCAAGAACTTCATTGTTATAAAACGAAAATCCCTGGACAATAGGTCTACCAAGTTTGGAGGATGAGCTGGAGCACTGTCCATTACCAGTGGCAATTTATTTTCCAGGAGGTATTTTTTCACACTCAGGCCAAACACTTCATGGACCCACTCTCATATTTTTCTATTACTTCCTTTTTAAATTCCATCGTGTTTCACACTTTCTTTACCAAAGGAACTTTACTAGGAACTTTCTTGGGACCCACGGTGACTTATTTCCATTGCACTTAATAAAAAAAAAAACACCAAAAACAATGGATTTTAAGGAAATGTTTGGACGAATGTGCGGAGTATATGCTCACTCACCGACAGACAAAGGGAGACTGAATCACCAAAGCCCTGCCAACATACAAGGCAATGGCTGAAATACGGAGCAAAATTTCCACAAAAATCGGACGATAAACAAAGTGGCCGAAAAACGAGGTTCCACTGTACGTCACTGATGTCAGTTAAGCCTGTACACCTTGTAAAAAGAGATCATCATTATTATTATTAGCTTATGTAATCTATCACAGCATGTCCCAAGTAAAAACAGCTACAAGTTGGTAACTTGTGTGCCTCTCAGCAGTGAGCATTTTTTCTCTTTGCATAAAGGTTAGAGCAAATTCAATCTGTTTAGGCACAGAATACAAGAATAAAGTGAAGTAGGTCACTGAAGTACCTAAACTTTCCATCATAAGAACATTCCCTTGTGGTATACTGACAATTAGTAGCTTACAACACGGCTCCATGAACTACCCAATGGAGACAAATGGTATAAAATACCATCACGATGGACCTGCTAAAGCCCATTATGTGGACAAAACATTGTCAATAAAAGATTGCATTATACTGCATGTCTTCTTTTTCCTGAGATTTGTTTTTGACTTTATAAATCCATTGTGTGGGCAAAACATTGTCAATAAAGGATAACGCTGTACTGTATTCGTGTCTTTTTTCCAGGAATTGCCCTAAGAGATTATTAATGAATATATTCTTTAAGGTGGTGTGGGATATAATCAGATTTCTAGCATTTGTTGCTTTCTATCAACAAGTAAACAAATGATCTTTGGTTCATCCAGTAACCATTGCTACATAACAATTGTAAAGCAATCTTTGATAAACCAAACTATCAGTCACAGTTGTTAGGTATACTGTAATAAAATAAGGATGCCATTTCTTATCTGTTTTTCTCAAAAATGTTAAGTCCTTTTCTTAATAAAATATCCTCACAGTTAAAGTACTCACTCTCAAAACAAAATTACTATGCTGCCATTCAATTAGGGGATATGCCAAAGTATCAACATCAATGGATACTGCATAATTTTGATACTGATGTTAGGCCAGTGTTAGGCCAATGGATACTGGATAATTTTGATACAGTGTTAGGCCAATACTGATGTAATGATATCTATGAACTGGCTTTTGCTTAATTTAGTAAAAATATCTCATACTTACTTAGGTACTCTGACCACATATTCAGTCACAGAACCCTGGAAAATACAAAAACAAATTAATAGACAGCACAATTCTGCAGTCTATATGATGTTCCATTAATTTAACATGTAATCTTATAATCAACTTAAGTGCTAAACCAACACATAAATTTAACAACATACCCAGTAGGCACCTTTCAATAATACATGCATGCATGTACATATGCATGCATGTACATATACAGTAGCTATCATAAATGTGCATGAACACAAACTAATCCAAAAGATAATAAGAATGCACACCATAATGTAGTGTTTTAAAAATAAAATACTGAAACATGGGTTACTAACCTAACCAAGTTCAATATGTACTCCATACCTCTCCTAGGCATTGATAAGGCTAAAGTATGAAGGATAGAAGAGTCAACACCCTTCCAAACTTGCTCAGTAGCACTTTAAAGTTTGGGGATAATGGACACGTCCATGCTGTGACTCTTACGATTAATAAGGTTTTACAAGTTCTCTATTGGATTTAAATCCATCGAGTTACTAGGCCAGTTATTAAAGAAAAATACATCACAATCACATAATCAAACTTTTATATTGTTGGAAGTTTGGCATAGAGCACTGTCTTGCCCAAAAAAAAAATAAATAAATAAAAAGTTGCTGTGGCACCTCTCAAAAATGTCAGACAAAAAGTCCGCTAAAAGCGTACTTGTGCACATGCACATTAATGATGGCTACTGTATATATTACATTATACAGATTTAACTTGAAATAACCCAATAACATCAATGTAATGTTTCAAAAACAGCCAGAAAGTTTATTTACGTACAATTACACAAAAGTACAATTAAACAGGTTTTGGATGATTATAATTGCCTTACATGGTAACATACATGTATATTACCTAGGATAACCCAAAAAAAACAAATCAAAGTGACTTACTACCATTGGGGTCCATGTTAGAACATTTTACTACAAGCAGCCAAGCTATCAGTTAGTATTAATCTGTCATTATTATAATCATACAATACATTGAAATATGTAAACTGCATGAAATCAGTTACAATAAAGTGATACAATATGAAGTAAACTTAGTAGTTTACTTGAACATTAATTAAGTAGAGAATATCAGCTTAATATAATAAACACATGAATGCTAACTATACAAGAAATCACTTCCTTCCTTTTCTGCAGATTCATTCACTAGGAACCATTTAGTTTTCTTCCTGAACTGGTTTATGCTAAGACTGGCTTTGACATGTTCAGGCAGTTCATTCCACTCCAAAATTGTATAATAAATGGTGTTTGAGGATTGAACACCTACCAAACTTGTGTTCACTCTACTAGTACCATACTGGTTTTGGTTCCTAACCTTGACAAAATCTGTGGCGAGACAATTTGGACACAGATTGAGAGCAATTTTATAAATACGATTTAGTTTACGTTGCTGCAGCCTATCTTGCACATTCAGCAATTTCAGCTGCTGTAATTCATGAATAGTAAAGTCACTTCATCTGACCTTTTTTTTTGGGTTATCCTTGGTAAATTATACACAAGTTACTAGGTATGATAACTGTCCTTATGTATACCTGTACCCAGATTAACTTACTAACATGTATTAAGTAGGTGCACACAAGTAGTTATCATATATGTTCTCTTGAATTCAGGCTCAGGATGAATCTCACTTTATTCTTGACAATTTGTAGTATTTTTCGGACTTTTTGTTAGAGCAAAGTACCACGAAGAGCAAGAATACTCTACAAGACTTTGCATCAGAGGTAGACATAGGGTCATGTGAGCCTCAGTAGGTACATACATACTTGTAAGTTTATTTAGGTACAGGTGTGTATATATATATATATATATATATATATATATATATTTATATATATATATATATATATATATATATATATATATATATATATATATATATATAATATATATATATATAAAGTACAATTATCCTAGTGTAAATTACCTATGATATCCCCCCAAAGAAGCAATGTAACATATTTCTATTGGGGTCCTTGATTTTCATTGTCATGTAGATAATTCTTGTTCTTCATGGTTCTCTCTTCAATTATGATTCTTATTATACATTACATAAGAAGAAATAAGAAGGAACACCCAACTTTTCTTTTTTTTTTGGGGGGGGGGGATTATCCTAGGTAATCTACACATATTCTGGTATGATAAACTAAGTAAGTAAGTAAGTAAGTTTATTCAGGTATACACAAACAGTTACATAGAATTATCCTACATAACAGCATATGTATAGAGAACCGAGGATAACCCAAAAAGTCAGTGACTTTAGGTGTACTTGAAGAAACCGACTTATTTCTTATACTGCAGCAGACATACTAGCCCGTGCTAGGCACATCTAAGTCACCTGCTGGCCTAGCTAATCATACCTGCGAAGAACTAGCCATTTTTTTCCCTGCGTACCCAGGTCAGACACTCCAACACTTGTACCAGCTTGATATGGCGGATGTCGTACCTGCTGACCTGCTTGTTAAATACGGCTCATATAAGGCGTAATATTGTTAGTGCAGAAATACAATTTTATATTGCTAAAATTTTAAGAAGACGTAAACTTATAGTTTTTTTATTAGTCGTTGTCTGTTGTCAATTATTTACGAATATTTAGTTCATTAATTTGTAAACCTCCTCGATTATGGCACTCGTAAATAAAATCTTTCTTGTATAAAATTCAGGTAAGTTGAAATTATTTTAGATGTTCGTGATATTACACACGATAAATAATATATCTGTGTATTGATATACATAATATATCAACCAAACCAGCCTAGTTTTGGGGCCTCTCAAGGAAGCCAAGCAGCGGTTCATGTCACAAGGGCGTATATCAACATCCTGCAAAAGGACAATGCAGTGGAAAAATTAAATTTCAAGAATGTATTTAATCTCCTGAAGAGAGAAGTGGTATGAACAGCTGTACACCCCTCAAGGGAGGTTCCTTGATGCTGGTGAGGGGCTCTTGATCTAGGAAATTGCATCTGTGCTCCAGTTCCCTGAATTGAGCCTGAATGCCTTCCATTCCTCCCCCACATGTACTGTATAATCCTATGGGTTTAGCGCTCCCCATGATAATAATAATAATAACAGCTGTACAAGAACATTTCCTTGGTCTCTTCCCTTTTGTTTCAGCTGGATATAGCAAGAAATCAATGCTCCTGTTTGGAGAACATGAAATCACGGGAATCTGTCTCACGTCCCACCATTATTGTACAAGCGAGCGGCCCATGTCCTTTCGCATGCTATTACATTACTTTTTAACAAGTCACTAGAAACTAGCACTTTCCCGACACTACTCAAGACAGCAAGGGTTACACCAATACATAAAGGTGGTGACCCTACAGACGTAAACAACTATAGGGCAATATCAAACTTACCATTGCTATCCAAAATCTTCGAGAAACTCGTGCACAGGAGACTATATTAATTTATAACGTCACAAAACATACTCAACCCCTGCCAATTTGGATTCAGGAAAAATAAAAGCACTAATGATGCATTTATAAAAATGCTAGACCTGCTTTACACAGCATTGGAAAATAAGGAATATCCGCTAGGAATTTTTATTGACCTAAGAAAAGCGTTTGACACAGTAGACCACGGCATCCTACTCCACAAACTTGACCACTATGGTATAAGAGGCCATGCGCTTGCATATTTTAAATCCTACCTTTCTAATAGGTATCAGTATGTCACCATTAAAGACAGCCTCATCAATACGGCCACTTGATACTGGAGTTCCACAGGGAAGTGTCCTTGGACCCCTGCTCTTCCTCATTTACATCAATGATCTTCCAAACATATCCCAACATCTGAAACCCATTCTCTTTGCTGACGACACGACTTATGTCATCTCCCACCCTGATCTTGCCACCCTCAACGCCATTGTTAACGAGGAGCTCCTCAAAATATCGACTTGGATGACAGCCAATAAACTTACACTTAACACTGGCAAAACCTACTATATTAAGTTTGGTAGCAGAGCAGGTGTTGCGCAACTTAACATTAAGATCGACAACACTCTAACTGCCAGACATAATGAGGGCAAATTCCTTGGCTATACCTCGACAACAACCTAAATTTCAGCACCCATATCCAACACATAGCAAAAAAAGTATCTAAAACGGTGGGGATCCTCTCCAAGATACTATACTACGTGCCGCAAACTGCCCTTCTCACACTATACCATTCACTTATATATCCATACCTCACCTATGATATCTGTGCTTGGGGTTCAACTGCAGCAACACACCTAAAGCCAATATTAACCCAACAAAAAGCCGCAGTAAGAATAATCACTAAATCCCATCCCTGGCAACACACCCCCCACTCTTCATAGATCTAAACTTACTCCCTGTTCAGTACATCCACACTTACTACTGTGCAGTCTATATCTACAGGACCTTAAATTCCAATATTAACCTTGACCTAAAATGCTTTCTTCATAGTTGTGACAGGATCCACAGGCATAACACCAGACACAAACATCTCTATGACATTCCCCGTGTTCGACTAAACCTTTACAAAAATTCAATGTATTTCAAAGGACCTAAAATCTGGAACACTCTACCTAAAAACTCTAGAACTGCAGACACATTCATCACTTTCAAAACTACAATTAGAAAACATCTTATCTCCCTGATCCACCCCGACAACTAACTACATGATAACCACCTGGCGGTTCACAATTACACTCACTCAGCCACTGACTATAAACCCAGAAATACTAATCTTAATCTTAAAATAATAAATCCTAACTAGTCATAAGTTTGCCTATGATACTCCAATATAGACACTTTGTGTTGTGCCAAAACAAAAGCAGTCACATTGCTAAACTCACAAATTATGATGTAGTCACTTAGCCTTAATACCATAATCTGTAAGGATTTAATGTTAAGAATTAATCTAAGTCTGCTCGAAATGCCTAGACAGGCTAGGTGTCCTAGTGGCCCCCTCTGTAATTAGTATTTTATAACATGTAAACCACACAATACCCAAAACCTGTAAACCCCACATTGTAACCCTTACAGAGAATAAACTTGAATTTGAATTTGAATTTGAATCAGAGGTTATCCAGCACCATTTGTGTACAGCGGTTAGGGAAATCACAGTCAGGCTGACCAGTGAGCTAAACATCTGATTCCTGGATAATGTCACACTAGCGGGTACTAAGGAGTCTCTTCTAGATGATCTTACACAGGTGATGACACGGGGACAGGAAATGGGGCTCATCCTGAATTCATCTAAATATGAAATCGTCTTGGTCAATTAGCAAAGTGATCGACGCAGTCAGAACAAACCTACCAGGTACATCAGTCATTGCCCCCACAAATAGCGTCTTGCTTGGAGCACCTCTGGGAAGTGATGCCACTGACTCAATTCTCTGGAAGAAACTGGACGAGTTGAGGAAGATGAAGCAACAAATAGATAACCTAGACACCCATGATGCCTTGTACCTTCTCACAAAATGCTTGAGTCTGCCTAGGTTAACATACTTCCTCAGATGTGCACCCTCATATGATAACCCTATACTGCATGAATACGACATTATCCTGAGGCATATTTTTACGAAAGTACTCGAGGTTACTCTAGAAGATGGGCAGTGGGACCCAGCTACACTTCTAGTCAGCCTAGGAGGCATAGGTTTCCGCAAGGAATCACTGTTTGCACTACCTACTTTTCTGTCCTCATGTGTTGCATCCAGTGGACCTGTAACCGATTCTCCCTGAACATCTTAGGGACAAGGTTGGAGTCCATGACCAAAAGTTCGTTGACGGAGTCACCAAACCTGCACACGAAAATCACTCCCTATGAAAGCAAAAGACTCGGCAGGAGATGCAACATTCCCCCGATGACAAGCAGGGGCGCCACGAGTACACTGAGAGACAACACAATAAGTGTCCGGGGCCCAAGACTGTTCAATTGACTCCCAGCATATATAAGGGGGATTACCAATAGACCCCTGGCTGTCTTCAAGAAGGCACTGAACAGGCACCTAAAGTCAGTACCTGACCAACTGGGCTGTGGTTCGTACGTCAGCTTGCCTGTGGCCAACAGTAACAGCCTGGTTGATCAGACCCTGATCCACCATGAGGCCTGGTCTCAGACTGGGCCGCGGGGGCGTTGACCTCCGAAACCCTCTCCAGGTAAACGCTCTGGGATAATCTAACAGGCTCTGACACCAGACCAGCGCCTCCCAATAACTACAGTCACACTGGTATGGTCCAGTAGTGGAGAATGCAGCCTCAACAATGCTTCGGTGTATTTCGGGGAAGGATAGAGCCCGCCTCCTTGCAGTGAGAACTCCTCCTGGGAGTGATCATGTCGGAGGATCTCACCTTCAAGGACCATAACATTGTATCAATCGCATCTGCTAGAAAAATGACAGGATGGATAATGAGAACCTTCAAAACTAGGGAGGCCAAGCCCATGATGACACTCTTCAGGTCACTTGTTCTATCTAGGCTGGAATATTGCTGCACACTAACAGCACCTTTCAAGGCAGGTGAAATTGCCGACCTAGAAAATGTACAGAGAACTTTCACGGCGCGCATAACGGAGATAAAACACCTCAATTATTGGGAGCGCTTGAGGTTCCTAAACCTGTATTCCCTGGAACGCAGGAGGGAGAGATACATGATTATATACACCTGGAAAATCCTAGAGGGACTAGTACCGAACTTGCACACGAAAATCACCCACTACGAAAGCAAAAGACTTGGCAGACGATGCACCATCCCCCCAATGAAAAGCAGGGGTGTCACTAGCACGTTAAGAGACCATACAATAAGTGTCAGGGGCCCGAGACTGTTCAACTGCCTCCCAGCACACATAAGGGGGATTACCAACAGACCCCTGGCAGTCTTCAAGCTGGCACTGGACAAGCACCTAAAGTCAGTTCCGGATCAGCCGGGCTGTGGCTCGTATGTTGGTTTGCGTGCAGCCAGCAGCAACAGCCTGGTTGATCAGGCTCTGATCCACCAGGAGGCCTGGTCTCAGACCGGGCCGCGGGGGCGTTGACCCCCGGAACTCTCTCCAGGTAAACTCCAGGTAAACTCAGGGGACTTTCTGCTGGCTGTTCCCAACTCCACCCTTGGCAAACGCCTCGACCCATAGACCATCCACATTGGTGTTGCCCTTCGACTTGCCGCCCCTGTTCTCGCCGAACAATGGTGTATTTGCGACAGTGAATCGGCAGACCAATTCGGGTACCATGGTCTTGTGTACTGTAGATCCGAGGGAAATATTGCAAGACATGAAGAGGTTAATGACATTATCAAGAGAAGCCTCAGAATAGCCAGATGCCCAGCAATAAGGGAGCCACCCCAACTATGCAGATCTGATGGTAATCAAAAGTGTCCAGATGGTATCATCCTTCAAGCCTGGACAAACGGCAAGCAGGTGGTATGGGACTACACATGTGCATCCACATTGGCTGATACCTGTCTCCGATACACCAGGGAGGAAGGAGGGGCAGCTGCCAGGTTCAGGGAGTCCCAGA